AAACAAACTATGACAACATAACAGTAACAACGTTAAAAAAACATGACCGGCTTACTTTCGAGGTGTTCGTGTTGGCAAATCTACCGATGCTATAGTTTTACGCGAAAGGCGAATCTGGCCCGTGTCTGCATCACGTCCCAGCCATTGAACTGTGGTTTTTTGTCCGACCTCAAGATGAACAGAATTGACATTTACTGCAAAAGTTTGAGAGGGACAACCTGAAGTCCACTAGCGGAAGAATGTCGTATAGGAATGGAATGCAGTTGTGAATTGGGGACAAAAACTGGACGACCTCCACCAGCAAGCTTCAGCATCGCCCCTCTTTCCAGAAGTTCTACAACTTCAGCGGTGACCATTTGACCAAACGCAAACTCTGGTTCATCGGTTTCGGACAGCAACCTGTAGGAGATACATGGAGGACACATAATACTCTCACTAGTACTCAGACTCACTTTTTCATCAGCTCTTTTGCTTCTTCAAGTCGTTCCTTGTTGGGTGCAAACAAACTAATGTGAGCCTCGTCCTCTTGGGAGATCTGGAAGCATAAATAATCTCCAGAAAAGCTCTCAAATCAAACTAGGTAGCAAAATAGACGTTATATGTAAACTCAGTATAGATATAAATTACCTTAACGCCAGTCTCGGCTTCGACAGTCTTGGCATGCATTCCACCAGCACGGAACAGTGCTTGCCTTTTATATGCATCCAATCGCATTTGCTCAATCACTGGTACTGTTGCTTTAAATTCCGCGCTGAAACACTTCAGTTAAACAACTAGGCAGAATCAGCTGAATCAAACTACCGTGGCCTGTCCAGTATTACACTCATTTTCTCCAGAACATAGCTGATTCCTGTAGCAGCACTGTCAAATGCTTCCTTGAGTTGTTCCCAAGTCAGACCAGGTATTTTCACGTCAAGCTGCATTGCCGTAAATCCCTTAGATGAGCCTAACGAGTTCGTTTTCAAATTGTCAACATCTTATAAATTCACTGGTTACCTGCTATCTTGAAATCCATATCCCCCGCATAATCCTCTATACCCGAAATATCCGTGAGCACTTTGTGGGGTTTTTGTGATCTACAACACGTACTTAGAACATCTTCTTTGAAATAAAAGTGATCTCACTCCTTATCAGTGATTAGTCCTATGGCCACACCAGCGACCGATGCCGAAAGTGGAACGCCAGCATCTAGCAAGGCCAAGCTACCTCCACATGCGGAGGCCATCGAAGAAGAACCGTTTGATTCCAAGACCTCTAATGTGGAGAATATGTTAGAAAAATTAAAGAGATATCAAACTGAAGAATATTGCGTTCTAACCTGACAAGCCAGACGGATGCTATATGGGAACT